GAGCATTTACCGGGATTGGGTATTTATCTATGTATATACAATTATATAATTACACGTATACAATTTTCAAACTCATGGACAAGAATTTGGGAGAACCGGCCTTGACAAAAAAATGGCGAATTCACAGAATTCCCCCTTTTTTTTCTCTCGGACATCACACAACAACCAAACCCACTAATTTCCTACATAAATCATCAACCAAAACCCATTTTCCAATTGCCAAAATCCTCCTTATTTCAACAGAATTTTCGGACAACCCAAGCCCATTTCATACAACCACTTAAACTCACAAATCAGCACTTAATCAACCAATTCTCAGAGATTAGAGGAGCTAACTTACCAAAAATTCCCAACAAGCAAAGTTGGAGCTGGCGGTAAAGGGAAGACCGACGGGAATTGGAGGACTTCCACGGGATTGCTAGAAATTGAAAGAAATAAAGATTAGGGTGAACCCACATACATCAAGGCTGAAAAAAAGAGAATTCATTGTTGATTTTACCAGGAAAAACCGGAGCTTATAACCAGTAATAGCCGACGGCATAGAGGGGAAGAGGCAGCAGATCTGGACAATTCTGCAAGGGGAGAAGATTTCCAAGCTTAGATCTGGTTCTTGAATCAGAAAAGAAAGGCAAAATCAGCTTCCTTACCAGTTTTTCTCAAGTGGATGTGGTCAGGCTTGCTTGATTCCCCTTTTTTTTTTTGTGTCGGCTGCAGCAGGGAGAAAGAACAGAGCAGACGCGAAAATGGCTGGGAAGAAAGAAAGAAAGAAGAAAAAGAAAAAAGGAAAAAAGAAATGAGTCAGCCGGCCTTATCCAAAACCTTTTGACCCCTTGACTTTTGAAAATTGATGATTAAGCTCAACAATATGATTTTCTCACAAAGAGGTCCCTAGCTCACACTTATTTGTTCTTGAAATTTTTGGGGTATTACATCCACCCCTCCTAAAAAGGAGTTTAGTCCCCTAAACTCATACCTTAGTCTTGGAAGAGGTGTGGATGTTCCTGCCTCATCTTGGATTCCAACTCCCAAATAGCTTCTTCAACCGAATGGTTGTCCTAGAGGACCTTAACAAAACGAATGGTCCTTCTCCGCATCATCCTCTCCTTGAAATCTAAAATGCGGATCGGGTGCTCGTCATAAGTGAGATCCTCCCTGAGTTGAATTGGTTCGGGATTAATGATGTGACTCCGGTCGGGGACATACTTCCGAAGTAAGGACACATGAAACACATCATGAACACCCGCTAGATTTCCAGGCAACTCCAATTTATAAGCTACCTCGCCAATCCTTTCCAAGATGGGATATGGTCCAATATACCTCGGACTCAATTTTCCCCAGATGCCAAACCTGAGGACACCTCGAGTGGGTGACACCTTCAAAAATACCTGGTCACCAACTTTAAACTCAAGGTCTCGTCTCCTTCTATCTGCATAGCTTTTCTGCCTGCTTTGTGCAGCATGAAGGCGTTCCTTGATCAACTGCACAATCTCAGAGGATTGCTGCACCAATTTCTGGGCCTAAAATGCTCATTTCGCCCACTTCCGTCCAACAGACAGGTGATCTACACCTTCGACCATACAAAGCCTCAAACGGCGCCATGCGGATGCTGGACTGATAACTATTATTGTATGCAAATTCAGCCATGGATAAGTGTTGATCCCACAAACCCTTCCAATCTAGGACACAAGCCCTCAACATGTCCTCAAGTATCTGAATAGTTCTCTCAGATTGCCCATCAGTTTGAGGATGAAAGGCCGTGTTGAAATTTAATTGAGTACCAAGTGCCTGCTGCAAGCTTGTCCAGAAATGAGATAAAAATCTGGTATCTCTATCTGACACAATAGACACAGGGACTCCATGCAGTTTGACTATCTTCTCCATGTACATATTGGCAAGCTTTTCAATGGAGGTGCCAGTCCGGTAGGGTAAGAAGTGAGCTGATTTGGTCAATCGATCAACGATGACCCAGATGGAATCATTACCTTTTAAGGTTCGTTGTAATCCAGTCACAAAGTCCATGGTGATGTTTTCCCACTTCCACTGGGGAATAGGTAAAGGCTGCAGTTTTCCAGGAAGTCTCTGGTGTTCGGCCTTGACTTTTTGGCAGGTCAGGCATTGTGAGACAAATCTAGCTATCTCCCTCTTCATGTTCCGCCACCAAAATGTACTACACAAATCACGATACATCTTGGTGCTACCTGGGTGAATTGTATAGCTAGTATAATGGGCATCTCCCATAATCTCACGCCTTAAAGCATGGTCTCTTGGTACACACAGCCTATCACCAAACCACAGAGTCTCATCACCAGAAATCCTAAATTCTTGCATGTGGGTTTCTCCGGCTCTTACTTTTTCCTTCATCCTCTGCAAGAAAGGATCTTTCTGCTGGGCAAGTTTAATCCTATCAAATAATGTCGGTTGTGCACTGAGAGCGGCTAGATAAGCCGTAGTGCTGTCCACTCTCAACTCCACATCCAGTTTCACAAGATCCTCAAGTAACTCCTTCTGAGTGGCAAGGATGCTAGAGGCAATGCCAGAGGACTTCCTACTCAACGCATCTGCTACCTTGTTAGCCTTGCCCGGATGGTAGCTAATGGTCAAGTCATAGTCCTCTAAAAGTTCAAGCCATCGCCTCTGCCTCATATTAAGCTCCTTTTGAGTGAAAATATACTTAAGGCTCTTGTGATCAGTGAAGATTTCACAAGTCTCACCATACAGATAATGCCTCCAGATCTTGAGTGCAAATACTACAGCTGCCAACTCCAGAACATGGGTAGGGTAATTTTCTTCATAAGGCTTTAACTGCCGAGAAGCATATGCAATAACCCTATCTTTTTGCATCAAGACACATCCTAAACCCTTTTTAGAGGCATCACTATATATAGTGAATTTTTCCCCATTAATTGGAAGTGCAAGTACATGAGCAATGACCAACTTCTCCTTAAGGGTCAAAAAGCTCTTCTCACACTCTGGGGTCCACTCAAACTTGGTGTCCTTCCTGATAAGACGAGTCATTGGTAGAGCAATTCTAGAGAAATGCCCCACAAATCGGCGGTAATAACCAGCCAATCCCAGAAAACTACGGATTTCTGCGACACTATTCGGCCTTTTCCAATCAACCATGGCCTCAATCTTCTGGGGGTCAACAGAGATTCCATCCTTAGTCACAACGTGACCTAGGAATGCAACATTATCTAGCCAAAATTCACATTTCTTAAATTTAGCAAACAGCCTCTCACTTCTCAATGTCTCGAGGACTGTCCTTAAGTGCTTTTCATGAAGAGTGCGGCTACAAGAGTAGATCAAAATGTCATCAATGAAGACAACCACAAACTGGTCTAGGTACTTGCTAAACACCCGATTCATCAAATCCATAAATCTGGCAGGGGCATTTGTCAAGCCAAATGGCATGACTATGAATTCATAATGACCATAACGGGTGCGGAAGGCAGTCTTTGGCACATCATCGGGTTTAATCTTCAACTGGTGGTAGCCAGATCGAAGATCAATCTTAGAAAATACCTGAGCACCCTTGAGCTGGTCAAATAAGTCATCAATTCTAGGAAGGGGATACCGGTTCTTCACAGTCACCTTATTCAATTCCCGGTAATCAATGCATAGCCTCATGCTCCCATCCTTCTTCTTGACAAACAACACTGGAGCTCCCCAAGGTGATACACTAGGGCGAATAAACCCTTTCTCAAGGAGTTCCTCTAGCTGGACCTTTAACTCCTTCAGTTCTGTAGGAGCCATACGGTATGGTGCTTTGGAAATGGGTCCGGCGCTAGGAACAAGATCAATAGCAAATTCAACCTCTCTATCCGGAGGTAAACCTGGGAGATCCTCTGGAAATACGTCCGGAAACTCACGCACCACCAGTATATCTTCTAGTCTCGATGTCACACTACTAGCATCAGTAACGGAGACTAGGAAACCTTGGCAACCATTTACAAGATATTTCTGAACCTGCAAGGCAGATACTAACAGGGTGGAGCAAAAGAACCACTGCCTTGAAAACTAAATTCTGGCTCACCAGGAATATTAAAAATTACCCATTTCCGATGACAGTCTATAGAGGCAAAGTGTTTTGATAGCCAATCCATCCCCAAAATGATATCAAAATCGGAGATATCTAAAACAAACAAACTAGCACTCAACTGTCTACCATCAACATAAATATCCACAGTTCTACACACCTCCCTAGTAGTCATCACCCCTCCTAAAGGGGTGTTCACATGCAGTTCACAATCAGAGGTATCAACAGGCAAAGCTCGTTTTAAAACATAAGATCGAGTAATAAAAGAGTGCGATGCACCCGAATCAAATAAAACATGCGCATAATCAGAGTTAACAGGTAAGATACCCGTGATTACGTCGGTGGCCGCAGCTTCCTTATGAGTCATCACTTGCACTCTCGCCTGTTGGGCTCTTGTCCAAACCCCGATACTCTGTTTCTGCGCCCCCTGACCGATAGAATCCTACGGAGAGGTAGGTTGAGTGCCCTGAGTCTTGGGGTCTAGCAGTAGACAATTTGCAATCCGATGTCCCTGCTTGCCACATTTGAAGCAAGCCCCAATAACAGTGTGGCATTGATCCCGGGTGTGCCCGACCTTCCCACAAACACGGCAAATAAGCTGAGTAGGACGAGCACGTTGGGCCGTTGATGCCTGACTCACTGTCTTGGTGGCTCCTGACCATTTAGAACCCTTGCAGATTTCAGACTTAGGCGGTGCAAGGAAAAGGGATCGACGGCTCCAATCAAATTTCCTCTTCCCAAGGGATGACCCACCACTAGGCTGCCCTGAGGACTTGACTCTAGCCATAGCCTTCTCCTGATCTATAGCTCTGTCCGCAGCCTCTCGATAAGTGGCGGGTTTAAATTGGTTTACCGCCAAATAAATGTCAAAATTTAAGCCCCACAGAAATTTGTCGGCCTTGGCTTGCTCATCGCCAACTTGGCTACCCATAAAAGGCAGATAGTGGTCAAACTCCTCCTTGTACTAATCAACAGTACCTGACCTTTGCTTTAAATCTGCAAATTCCCTTTGCAGTTCTCGCCTTTTGCTGTCCGGTATGTACTCCTGCATGAACACCTTCTTAAAACCATCCCAGGTGCTCAATTCAGGCTCTCCTTGGTGTAGCTTCAGATAACTCTCCCACCAAGTTAATGCCTTCCCAGTAAGCATGTAAGTGCCTACATTAACCTTAAGGTCATCCGAAACATGCAGTAGGCGGAATCCCCGTTCCACCTCGGTGATCCACGATCCCACCTGCTCAAAACCTGTAGTACCATTAAATCCCTTGGTCACCAGCTTCTTGAATTCTATATAAACCTTCCAGCTAGGCACAACAGGAGCAAAAGAGATAGGAACAGGGGAAATTGGAGCAGGGGCCATAGGAGTGGAGACCACCGGGGATGGGGGTGGTACACTTGTGGCAGGAGATACTTGGCGTCTTATCTCTGCCATAAGTTCCTGAACAAAGCTGGCCACTTGAGGATTGCTCGTCCCTCCCTCCTGCAAAGCAGCTTGGGCAGGGGGACTAGCATCTGGGATTGGAGGAGTGCCCTGATCCTTACGGCTACCCCTCGGGCGCCCACGCCGTTTTGGAGCCATCTATAACCACATAAAAGGTGTATAGACCATTAATCAAATGCTCCACAAGAAATTTCCCGACAAGTTTCCACTTCCGGGACCAAGTAACACAAAACAAAATGAAATGAATAAAAATCTCACACATTAAGGAAAATCAAACAAGCGCCCTTAATCAACCCCACTCTCATACCTCACCACGTTCCTATCATTCCTTTGCTAGCCAAGTTCTAGACTAATCCTAGGCTCTTAAATTAACCTAGGCTCTGATACCACAAAATCTGTCACGCCCCAAACTGAGAGCGAAACAGACGTCGTGCACTCGGGAACGGGTCCCGCAATGCACAAAGCTCGAAACTTACTAAGTTCATGCTACTAATTCAAATAATTCAGGTCATATCTAATTTCTTTTTTTTTTCTATATATTTACTCGTCAAAGTGTACAAGGAGTTATAATTCATCCATATGATCCTTACTATAACTACAGGAGTTCTGTACACAAA